GAGCTGTGGCTCAAGTGGTAGAGCACCAGCTGTGAGCAAAGTAACGCAGAGACAGCACCCAGGCCCTGAGCTCAAGCTGCATGCGAGCACACAGGTGTTATTTATGTAATTATTTATTTTCAAAATGAGGGTCTCACTATTTCCTAGCAGGTTCCCAATTCCCAGCCTCAAGCAATCCTCCTGAACAGATAAGCATAAAGACACCCCAGCAAAGACTGCTCATTCTTTACCCTGTGACCCAGTTTTACAAGCATTCTGCTGTTTCAACAACTCAGCGGACACCCCTCCCCCCCAAAAAATTGTTTTTTGTATACGTGTCTGGCCTAGAGCTGGCAAGAACACCGGCTTTGTGTTTCATCAGCTGTGTGACATTGAGTAAGTTAAGGAACCTCTCTGGTCCCACACAGGTCAGCAGTATTTCCTTGCCGCCAGCACTAAGGTCCTAACACAGTAGGCCCAACAAACACACAGTAGGCCTAATTACACACAGTAGATCCTCATTTATAAATGCCAACCCACCTCCAAGTCCATCTAGCCCAGCACCCCCCAGCCAGATTATTGGCTGTTTACCAACCTCAGGAGTTTTCCCCCAGTCTAGAAAATTCCAAACCCACAGGTGATCTACACTTTCCCCAAGACATCTACCCCAGCCCTGAGCCTCCCTCCAGCTCATAGTTTAGCTTCTCTTTGTTCTGGATCTATTAACATTCTCCAGATTTTTCCACAAGGAAAGATCATTTCCTCCTCCTCCTGCTGCAGGCTCTTACCCATTGCCTTTCCCAACTCTCGCCTGGCATTGCCTACATCATCATTAAACCCTCCCTCCCCCCCCAACCCTGCCCCCCTAACCCAGAGCACATAAGGATCTTCCCTGGGCTCCAACACAGCCCTCCAAAATCTACCCAGGCTTCCAATTGTTTGGGGCGAGGTGAAAAGACCCTCTTTTCTGTCGCTCTTCTCCTAGCCTGTTGTTTTGGTTTGGTTTGATTTGTTGTTTTTTGGTTTTTTTGCTGGGTTTTTTTGTTTTTTGTTTTTTTGTTGCCAGGCCTGAGACTTGAATTCAGGACTTGAGTGCTGTCCCTGAGCTGCTTTTATTCAAGGCTAGTTCTCTACCCATTGAGCCACAGCGCCACTTTCAGCTTTTTTTTTTTTTTCTTTAAGTAGTTTTTATTGGAGATAAAAGTCTCACAGACTTTTCTGTCCAGGGCTGGCTTTGAACCAGGATCCTCAGATCTCAGCCTCCTGAGTAGCTATGATGACAGGGGTGAGCCACCAGCACCCAGTTCCTCCTGTCTTTTTTTTCCGCCCCCAGTCCTGGCACTATCCCAGCACTCTGCCTCTTAAGCCACAGCACCACTTCCAGCTTTTTCTGTGTATGTGGTACTGAGGAATCGAACCCAGGGCTTCATGCATGCTAAGCAGGCACTCTACCACTGAGCCACCTTCCCAGCCCTCCCCCTTTCTTTTGTAATAGAACCATTTACACTGGGTAATCACTTTCACCCCGGGAGCTTTACAACCCATCATCTAGGTGGATGACCCACACACAGGCAGTCAGCCATGTGGGCGCTGTCTGCATGGGGAGCAACAGATCCCAGAGCTGGTGCAGGAAAGCCAGGCCCTACACTCTAGGAAACACACCCTAACCCTGACACAGGGAAGCTGTCAGCCGTCCATGGTGCTGAGACTCCAGCACCACTATTTGGGAGAGGGGGCAGATGGCTGAACCACACACATGGAGAGAGCCACAGCCCAAGTGTGGAGGATGGATACTTTATTACATGACTATATAAATATTATGTGTGTGTGTGTGTGTGTGTGTGCACGCGCTAATCCTGGAACTTGAACTCAGGACCCTGGGCACTACTCCTGAGCTTTTTCACTCAACGCTGGTGCTCTACCACTTGAGCCACAGCTCTACTTCCGACTTTTCGGTAAAAGTCTCATGGACTTTCCTGCCCAGGCTGGCTTCAAATCATGATCCTCAAGATCTCAAGCCTCCTGAGTAGCTAGGATGACAGGTGTGAGCTACTGGCACCCAGCTAGAAAGGCACTTTCTAAGTATAATGTACAGAAAAAAGGCTGGAAAATCCTGCTATACAGCACTGTCTATGCACGTATGAAAAGAGTATAATAAAATTTATTATAACCCAACTTTTTTTTTAAAGGTGGGGATGAGAGAGAGAGGATGGAGGAATAGAGATAGTGAATTTGGTGAATTTGGTGAAAGTGCAATAGATGTATGACACAGTAAATCCCATTGAACAATGAAGATGTGCTAATAACTCTAGCCATAAAAGGTAACATTAAACCAGGCACTAATGGCTCACGCCTGTAATCCTAGCTACCCAGGAGGCTGAGATCTGAGGATTAGGATTCAAAGCCAGCCCAGGCAGGAAAGTCTGTGATACTCTTATCTCCAATGAACCATCAGAAAACCGAAGTGGAGCTGTGGCTCAAGTGGTAGAGCTCCAGCCTTGAGCTGAAGAGCTGAGGGAGAGCACCCAGGCGCAGAGTTCAAGCCCCACAACCGACAAAAAAAAAAAAAAAAAACACCATCACCACCACCACCATCATCATCACCATTATCAGCACCACCTTCATTATTCTCTCTCTCTATCTGAACATCTCAGAGCATTTTTTCTTTGTCAGTCCCAGGGCTTGAACTCAGGGCCTGGGTGCTGTCACTGAGCTTCTTTTGCTTAAGGCTAGCAGTCTACCACTTGAGCCACAGCGCCACTTCTGGCTTTTTCTCTGTATGTGGTACTGAGGAATGGAACCCAGGGCTTTATGCATGCTAGGCAATCACTCTACCACTAAGCCCCTCCCAGAGCATTTTATCCACTAATAACCAAATGGGCAGAGGACAAACAACCTCTTCAGCAACTGGAAGATACATAGGCAAAGGACAATGAACAGAGGAACAGATAAATGTAAATCAGCATCATACATATGCAAATGTAAACACCACCAGAGGCTCCTCCCCCGATGCAGTACATTAAGACTGTCCCCAAACACCATTCAGCACCCTGCCCTCCATGCGAGGCGAGGAGGCGCCCCTGTGGAGACACCATTTCCAGAAAGCCACTTGGCAATGTGGATCAAGAGCCTCTGACCCAGAAATTTCACTTCTGGAAGCAAGACATAAAGAAATAAACACCAGATAAAGCTTTGCCCAGAGCAATCTCTATTTAAACGAATGAAGCAAAAAAATCATCAAAACCCCTGATAAAGGAATAAAAACACAACAGACCTACTGAATATTGATCAGAAGGAAGTAACTATTGCCATCTGGTTTATTGGGGCCTGAGACAGACATTTTGGCTTTTTACCCATTTCTTCTTTTTGTTAGGTTTGCTTTTTGTTGTTGTTGTTGGTCATGGGGCTTGAACTCTGGGCCTGGGCACTGTCCCTGAGCTCTTCAGCTCAAGGCAAGCGCTCTACCATTTGAGCCACAGCACCACTTCCATTTTTCTGAGTGGTTTATTGGGGATAAGAGTCTAATGGAGTTTCCTGCCTGGGCTGGCTCTGAACCATGATCCTCAGATCTCAGCCTCCTGAGTAGCTAGGATTATAGTCATGAGCCACCAACACCCGGCTTTTTTACCCATTTCTATGAAGAACAATTTGACATTTATAAATCAGACAAAACATAATACACACACACACACACTTCCATTCCCACATTTTAATCAGCAAAACAAAGGAACATTTACAAAAACAAAAAAGACACCCTTCCAGAAAACAATCTGGTCCCTACTTGTTTTTGTAAATAAAGTTTTATTCACACAGAGCCACGCTTATACATTAACACCAGCCTAGGGCTGCTGGCCTGTGTATTACCCACACACACAACTATGATGAGATAATATGAAATGGAAAATTCCAGAAAGGAGCAATCAATTCACAGGATTTCAAGAGGGTGTGCTCTTCGAAATAGTGCAAAGAAAGCTCAAGCTATCTTGATTAAGAGCAACATGAGAGTCCCTCAGGCGTCTTGTCAGTTATCAGGTTAACTACAGATAATAGCTACAAAGCAATGGTCTCCCATGGGCTGGGAATATGGCTTAGTGGTAGAGTGCTTGCCTAGCATGCATAAAGCCCTGGGTTCGATTCTTCAGTACCACATAAACAGAGAAAGTCAGAAGTGGAGCTGTGGCTCAAGTGATAGAGTACCTTGAGCAAAAGAAGAAAGAGAAGGAAAAGGAGAAGCAGCAGCTGCTGCTGCTCAGGGACAGTGCCCAAACCCTGAGTTCAAGCCCCAGGACTGGCAAAAAAAAGAAAAGAAATTGTCCCCCAGTTCAAACGTGGCAATGCAAGCCATTTATTATAATATAGCATAAAAGTCGTTCCTTTGTGCCTAAATCAACAATTCCACTTGATCATAGGAATGAACTCAGAGGAAAGAATGAAAGACAGCTGGGGTTTTCTACAATCTGTGATTCTTGGGCTCTAGCAGGGGGCTAGGTAAAAGGGGACAACTGCATTTAGAGGTAGAGATTTCATGGCCTGTGAAGTTCAAAACTGTTATCATCCAGGATGGGTGCCGGTGCTCACGCTTGTCATCCCAGCTACTCAGGCAGGAGGATGAGATCTGAGGATCACAGTTCAAATCCAACCTGGGGCCTCTTATCTCCAGTGAACCAGCCAGAAAGCCAGAAGCGGAGTCATAGCTCAAAGGGTAGAGCACTAGCCTTGAGCACAAAAGCTCAGGGACAGTGCTCAGGCCCTGAGTTCAAGCGCCAACACAAGCACCAAAAAAAAGTTATCTAAAACTTTACAGAAAAAGTTTGCGATCCCAAACAGTGCTGTCCCTCAGTCCTTCCATCATGGCGCGCAAGCACACACACACACACACACACACACACACACACACACACACACACACACACACACACACACACACACACACACACACACACACACACACACACACACACACACACACACACACACACACACACACACACACACACACACACCGGTGTCTCTCATCTTACCTTTCTGGCAATGGCTGTGAGTCCAGCATCGCTCAACAAAATGCCCATTGATGACGGTGGCAGGGCAGTTGGCTTTGCCCTTCCCAGTGCCAGGACAAATGTCACCACACTCTTCCTTGTCATCCTTGTTCAGGACAATATAATTGTCCTCCACAGAGTCCAGGATTCGGGACCAGTCGATGGTGGCCAAGTAGCAGAGCTCATTGTTCTTCTCGATGCGGACAGAGCCCCGGGTGATGTTCATCAGGTTGTACAGGCCGAGTTCCTTGAGATGAACCATCTCGAAGATCACCAGGGCGTAATTGAAGAAGAGACGGGAGCCCCGGATGACCGTGAGATTGGGAAACAGATCTTTCAGACTCTCCAGCCCATACACCCGGAAGAGCAGCAAGTAATCAGTGATCATGATGAGTTTGGGGAAACTGAGGTAACGGAAATCTTCGGGCCTCGTTTTGAACATCAGAAGAATCTGCAAATGGCCTTCGATGACTGAGCAATTCTCCAACTCATGCAACCTAGTGAGGTTATTCCGAATATCCATGCCCGGACACACTGGAGGGGAAAAAAAGAAGAAGAAGAAGAAGAAAAAAAGACAGGTAAGGAGACAACCTCTTACACAGGTAAGGAGACAACCTCTTACACAGGGACACCGAGCACTGGTGCTCACACCTGTAATCCCAGCTATTCGGAAGGCTGAGATCTGAGGATCTCAGTTTGAAGCCAGCCCAGGTAGGAAAAGTCCATTCAGACACTCTCATCTCCAATGAACCATCAAAAAGCCAGAAGTGGAGCTATGACTCAAAAGCTAGTCTTGAGTGGAAAAAAAAAAAAAGCTCAGAGACAGTGCTCAGGCCCTGAGTTCAAGCCCCAGGACTGGTGCCAAAAACAACAACAACAATAATAATAATATTAACATGGAGTATTATCCAGACTTGCTATGATAAAAGAGAGGCTCTGGGTGTCACGTCTTCATCACGGAGATGGAGTGAGATGGAAATGTTAATTATCCTGATTCTATCTTCTCACACCACAGGCTCATGCTTAATTATCTTCCTGCAATTACTATGTGTCAATTAAAACAATTTGTAAAGTTGACTTATGAACCATGAAGGAGCTCAAGATGGGGTTCACAGGTAAAGAGCTTGCCTAACATGATTGGGGGCCCTAGGAGAGACCCCTAGCAAGAAGCAAGAACAAGAAGAGGAGAAGGAAAAAGGACAAGGAAACGGAGAAGAGGAAGAAGAGGAGGAGTCAGGCACTGGTGGCTCATGCTTGTGATCCCAGCTACTCAGTAGGCTGAGATCTGAGGATCATGGTTCAAAGCTAGTCTGGGCAGGAAAGTTCATGAGACTCTTATGTCCAACTAACCACCAGAAAATCAGCAGTAGCACTGTGGCTCAAAGAGGTAGAGTGCTAGGCTTGAGCAAGAATACCTCCGTGACAACACTCTGGCCCTGAGTTCAAGCCCCACCATCAACAATAAGAAAGAGGAGGGAGGGGCCGGAGAGAGGAAGAAGGAGGGGGAAACTATGACAAGAATAGGATTTGGGGGAGAATGATGGGAGGGGCTGACAATGGTCAAGATGCACTGTACTTCTAATCTGACTTGTTGAACCCCTTTACACAACCACTTAAACTTTACAGGCTCACACCTGTAATCCTAGCTATTCGGGAAGCTGAGATCTGAGGATTACAGTTCAAAGCCAGCTAGGCACGAAAGTCCGTGAGACTCTTATCTCCAGTAAACCACCAGAAAACCAGAAGTGGTGCTGTGGCTCAAGTGACAGAGCACTAGTCTTGAGCTGAAGAGCTGAGGGACAGCGCCCAGGCCGAGTTCAAGTCCCACAATGGACCAAAAAAAAAAAAAAGGACAAGATAACAGAAGGGAGGAAGAGGAAGTGGAAGGAGAGGAGGGAGGGAAGGAAGGAGGGAGAAGGAGCAGGAGGAAGAAGAAAGGAAGAAAAGGAAAACAGTTGTTGGTGGGCTAATCCTGGGACTTGAGCTCAGTCCCTGAGCATTTGTGTTCAAGGCTGGTGGCGCTCTGTCACTTAAGACACAGCCCCACTTCTGGCTTTTTGGCTTTTTAATTGGAAATAAGACTCTCACGGGCTTTCCTTCCCAGACTGGCTTCCAACTAGGATCCTCAGATCTCAGCCTCCAGAGTAGCTATGATGACAGGCGTGAGCCACCAGCTCCCTACTAGGCCTGCTAATGAATTTCAAGCCTGAATAGTGATACAGTGGTGACAGAAAGTGCACAAAAGACTGGGGAGCTGTTCCCCCTCCAATCCTCCCACCTCCTCCCCCACTCTATCAGAATGGAAAGACTTTCCATAAATGCCTGCGGGAGAAAAAGGTACCCACTGCAGAAAATATTTGTCTTTTCCATTTTCCCACCTGCCTCTGCTTCCTGGCCCTCCTGGCTGCCTGTCAAGGTGTAATTACCTTTCCCTGGGTGTGGCCAAAGCCTGCCTGCCATGCCAGTGTGATCTCCATCTCACCCCACAAACACCCAGCAAACTCATTCTCCTAAAGATGGTGCCCGCAGGGTCCCATCACCCTCAATGGTTCCCTAGGGCCCTTGCTCTCACATGGTCCTCCAGATTCCACTCCTCCCTTCCCCAACCTGCTGCTGCCCCTCCGGTTTTGCTTACTGGAGATAAGAGTTTCATGGACCTTCCTGCCCAGCCTGGCTTTGAACCGTGATCCTCAGATCTCAAGCTCCTGAGTAACTACGATGACAGGCATGAGCCACTGGTGCTATTTATTTATTTATTGCTAGTCCTGGGGCTTGAACTCAAGGTCTGGGTGTTGTCAAGACTAGCACTCTATCACTTGAGCCACAGCACCACTTCCGGCTTTTTCTGTGTATGTGGTACTGAGGAATCAAACACAGGGCTTCATGAATGCTAGGCAAACACTCTACCACTAAGCAATATTCCCAACCCCTCCCCCCTTTTTTTTCTTTCTGGCTTTGGTTTCCTTTCCTTTTATATTTTTTTTAATATGTGTTGTTTTTTGAGACAGACTATGTTGTCCCTCCTGGCCTCCAACTTGGGATCCTCCCGTCTCCCAAGAAGTTAGGATGACAGGCATGTACCACACCACACTTGGTTTAACTCTAAATCCAATCTAATGGCTTTCAAGAGTCAGTTCAGATGCCTCCTCCTCCACCACCAGCAGGTAGCCTTCCCTGATTTCCTTTCCTTGGGATACTTATTTGGGTTTTCCCTTGTCTGTGTGTCCCAGGAGAAATGAAGACACAGTCCCACAAGAACTTGCAGGCAAATGACTGTAGCAGTGATTTGCATAACCACACACACGTAGGAGCCACCCAAATAAATCCCCATCAAGGGATAAATAAATGAAAAGAAAGGTGTACATTCATATAAAGGAAATTCTGATACACGCTACCATATAAATGAACCTTTGAACTATGATGCTCATTGAATAAATCAAACAGATGAAAAGTCCCAAACAGGCAACTCCAGAGACAGGAAGCTGGGGCTGGGGGGGGGGGGTAGCCCTGAGGACACTGGGGAGGGGGAGTCTAGAGCTAAGGGGAACCAGGATTCTTTGTAAAAACTAACTGTGGGGACCGGTTGCATAACTCACTGAATAAAACTCAAAACCACCGAATTACACGCTCTAAATGGGGGAATTGTATAGCACGGGAATTCTATCTGGCAAAAGTTATTGTCAATAAAGATTAAGCTCTTATAATGTAACAGGCGACAATAAAGAACTGCTTTGCTGTTTTAATCTTCCCCAGGAATCTAACTCTTAACTCATTAAAGTCTTATGGGTTCCTATTAGTCAAAGACAATAGAGCAATTTAGAAAACTGCCCAGAGGAGGTTAAAGATGCCTCCAGAAGTTAACTAGAGGAACTTCCAGGGCTTTAATCCCTGGGGGCAGGGAGGGGACCCTCACTTCACTCTAAGTTTTGTGTAGGAAGCCCCAAGTTCAAGATAGAGACCCTGAGCCATCCACCCTGCTAACAGTAGGCTCTACTCTAGGCCCAGGCCCCCAGGCTCTGTCTCCTAAGAGACAGCTCCAACCCACTAGAGGTTAGAGCCACGCCTCTATCACTAAACCACGCCCCCTGACACCTAGCCACGCCCCCATACTTGACACACGCCTACCACTGAGCCACGCCCGTTACCGAGCCACGCCCCTAATGCTTGACTAGCTCCTACCACCAAGCCACGCCCCCGTTGCTGAGCCACGGGGCCCCTACTGTTTGATATACCCATCACTAAGCCGCGCCCCTGCTAAACCCCGCCCACACTCCACGGAGCCACGCCTCCAGCCAAAGGGTCTTTCAAATTTGTAGGCAAACACATAGACTCAGTCACAGCTATTCAATTCCACCTTTTCAACCACCTGTGAGGCACAAAGAACGGAGCAAGCCAGGCTGTGCTCCAAACAGGACTCCGAAAGATACATCAGAGCAAGTATATGGGAGGCCCTGGGTTCCATCCCCAGGAGTACGCAGGAGAGGCAGACAGACATCGGATAGCTACAGCTCAAACGGCATCTATTTTTTTCATGGGTTGCAAAAGTCGAAAGTGAGTTTCCATTCAAACACTTAAGAGTGCTTGCCTAGCATGCATGAAGCCCTGGGTTCGATTCCTCAGTACCACATAAACAGAAAAAGCCGTAAGTGGCACAGTGGCTCCAGTGGTAAAGTGCTAGCCTTGACAAAAGGGGCATTGCCTAGCCCCTGAGTTCAACCCCCAGAACTGGCCCAAAAATAAATAGTTTCCCACAGCTCTCTCAACTAGGGGAATGGGCGGAGGGGGGGGGGTCTCACAAGAAAGCAGAAGCTGGATGTGGGCTGCAGATGCGCCCTAAAAAACAACTAAGAGATACACAGTGGTCTCTACCATATGCTGCTGCAAGATATGCTATCCACTATGACTGACGTATAAGGTAAACACACAGACGTGTTGACCTGTGTGTGCAAACACTGTGGTCCAGAAAAGACACATGTGCGTGTGCACATGCACATACACACACAAACATCTCTGGGTGTCTCTGGGTAAAGAACCCAGCATGTGAGATACGAAAGGAGAATTTTCACTACCCATGCTCTTTGTAACTGTGATTTTTGTAACTGTGATTTGGGTTTCGGGAGCTGTAAGCCATCATGAAAAAGTGCAAAGGTGCCAGGCATAGTGGCTCAAGCCTATAATCCACACTTAGGAGGCTAAGATCTGGAGGATGTTAAGTCAACTCCAGGCCTCCCAATTTTATTTTTAAGTCTAAGAGAAATTAGCCAATATAAAGCAGAGCTGTGGGTGTGGCTCAAGTGGTAGAGCACCTATCTGGTAAGCATGAGATTCTGAGTTCAAACACCACTACTGGCAAAGAAAAAATAAAAATTAAAAAAGAGGGGGTGGGGTGGGGATATAGCTCTATAGGAACAGAATACATGCAAAGGGCCAGCACCCTAATGAACCCACAACATGCAAGTGGAAAGAAAAATGAATGTAAAGTTGAATAACAGAATTCCTAGAAAGCAGGTATGACTGGCTTCCAGCCCAGCTCA